GCAGAACCTATTTTATACATATCAAAATATTCATCCAAACTTTCAAGAAACTGATCAAAACCTTTTATCATATTTTCATTTAAATTCGGATTCTTTTTTTGTTGTTCAAAAAATACAGTAGCTTCTGAAATTTTAAATTCAAACAGCTTCATAGTATAACTTAAAGAAACTGGAGTTTTATATCTTTTTTCCAGCTGTTTCTGCAAAACTATTGCTCTGCGCCGAATCTAAAAATATTATAAAAATTACTAAAGATCTTTAAATATTACATAATATTTTGAAATATTATAATTATATTACATTTTTCATTATTTGATCCACTACATCTTTTTTATTACTAAGATGATATGATTTTTTTACATAAGTTTTGTGTAAACTTTCATATGTCTCCATTTATTGCTCTGTATTCTCGAATTGTATCAACAACATGATAGATCCACAAGTGTAGTTTTGAAAATTTCAATTTAGAAAGTGAAAATTTTTGAAATAATTTAATAAATAGATCAACTCAAATTAATCACTTTCTATATAATTAAATAGGTTAATATTTTATTTATTTTTTTTTTTTAGTTATGTTCCGGGGGTAATTATTTTTACCTGAAATTTTTGCAGATTGCTTTTTTTAAACGTTTCCAATCAACTTATCAAATACATTTCATTCCATTTCACATAGACTTTCGAAAGATTTTTATCTTGTAATAAATCATCAACAACAAATACCATCACCTTCATCAAATCTCTATATTCATTTGCGGTTAATTACGCTATTGAAAGTAACCTTCCTGAAAAAATCTTTAAACCCAGATGTCTTGGAATTTTTGTAATTTTCCAGTTAAATTTGTCAATTAAAGATTTATTCTCTTTCAATATCTCTTTGGTAAACTTTATTTGATAGTGATATAAGTCTAAGTCCAGGTGATACATTCTATCAGGGACAGTAGCTACATAAATATTTATATCTCTAATAATTTATATAAATGCAAAATTAAAATGTACCCCAATAATATAAAATAAAATATTATTATTTAAATACTTACAGAATATTCCAAAAGTTATTATATACTGGTTCTAAACTTACAAAATTTTCTGTTTTATTATTGTAATACTCCATTATATTTTCATGGTTACAAAGTATTATATTTAAATTTATATTTGCCAAATTGTCCCTTGATACCAAACAAAAATAGTAGGGATATTTTGAATTGGTTGATTTATAAGTTAATGAAAAAGTACAGGCTTCTGACCAATCACAAATTATCATAGAAATTTTTGGAAAAAATCAAATAGTATCACCATTGACTTTAAAATTGATACCATTATCACCTTAGAATAGAGATTTCAGTAAGAATTTTAATATATTGTGAAAAGTTTCGCAAACTAATTTCTTAAATTTAGAAGATTTTTTTTCTGATTTATCTTTAACAGATAAAATTGGAAGATAACCCAATAATTGTTTAACATCTTCCTTATTTCTTTGCCACGTTGGAATATTGCCAAGAGACAAAAAATGGGGTGTAATGAACTCTTTCCTAATGTGTTGAGTGTAGTAGCATCCGAATAGAGAATGATTGATAAAATATGTACTAAAGGTGAAATTGAACCTTCTGCATGTTTCCACCAATTTCTGGAATTTTGCTCCCCATATGATTTTCCCCCCTTGATCTATAATAATATGTAAATATTAATTATATTAATTTTAAAGTAAAAATATATAAATTTTTTAAAAAATTTTAAAATTTTATCACCAAATCTTTGTAATCATATGCAAAATGTTTGATTATGTTTGGATTTAATAGAAGATTTTCAATACAATTTTTGATTGGATAATAGTATATAAAATATTCATTATCATTATGAACAAGTATATGATGTTTATAATTAGCTAAGTGTGATAAATTCATATCATCCATGAATTTTCAATCAACAAGGATATTTTTAGGAAAGGGAGAAATAGATAAATTAGAATGCTTGTTAAAGAATTTATAATTTTGTTGCCAGTTTGATTATTTAGATTATGTTTAGTAACAAGAGTCATCAAGTTGGCATAAGCTTTACTTGAAAATTCTTTAACATTTTTAATTTCGGGTTTTTCTTCAAAACTTTGTAAACTCAAAGGTAAATTTTCATATCTTTCTGAAATTGAAAGTGATATTAATGAAATATCACCATCATACTCTTGAAGATCTTGTGAATTTTCTCTCATTTCAGAACTTGACGTCATTTCTTCTTGTCTTTTACTATCTACACTATCTTCACTATTTTCACTATATTCATTATATTTACTGTTTTCATTATCTTCACTATCTACTGCCATATCAGTGACTTCTGAAATTGTTTCTGAAACTTCATTGTTGGAATCGTTGGAATCATTGGAATCATTGAATTCTTCTGTACTAATATCATACTTAACAATGCATAGATTTACATATTGGATATATGCATTATGGCTCAAAAAAGAACGAGAACAATATTGACATTTAAACATTTTTCAATTTTGATATTTTTTAATTTTTTCAAAGTTAGTTTAATACTTTTAGCATCCTTTTTCACAACACCTTATATATCTTTTTTCAAAATTTCAAATGTATATTTATTGTTATTATCAATAATTATTTGAATGTATTCAAATCCTTTTAATCCTTCTTTATTTCTAGAATTATATTTTTGTGATATAAAAAGAATATAAGGCTATTGCCATTTTTTATAACAAATGTCATGTATTTCCAAAAATGTGAAAGTAGTTTTATGATCTAGCTTATTTCTAGAATTTATTTTTGTGATATAAAAAGAATATAAGGCTATTGCCATTTTCTATAATAAATATATGTATTTCTGAAAATGAATGGTAGTTTAAATGTGTAATATAAATGATATAAATGTAACAAAGAAAACAAGTATAATTTATTTGCTTTATTGCTATTTTCATTATATTCTATAATATAAATAGAATTTTTATTGATATAACACAAAATTGATCAGGTTTATTATATTTATTTTGTTTATTTTATTTGTTTATTTTATTTATTTGAATAACTTTTCATACCACTATACTTACTCTTACTCTTACTTTCGTATTTTTTTGAAAACTTATTCTTACTCCTACTTTTACATTTTTTTAATATTCTCATTCTTTCGAAAATGTTTTCCTACTCCTTTCACTATTTTCGATTTTTTCACTTTTTTTCATATATTTTTCCATACATTTTTCCCTATTTTTTATATATTTTTGTAAAAAATGAGTTGAAATCGAAAAGACATAAGAAAAAATATGTCACAAAATGATGGTAATAAATGTTAAATATTAAATTAAAATATTGTTTATTATTATTTCAAAGTGAAATGTTATTTTTATTTTTTTTATTTTATATAACTCTAGCATTGAGTAGAAAACTATTTTCAAAAATAGTTGAAATTCAGAAGGTAGTCGAAGAATTAAGAGCTGACCAAAAATTAATGGCGGA